CCCGTAGTATGTCCAAATCCACAGTCGTTGGCCGCCCTGTCCTTTCGTCATCTTCGATAGAATACTCGCCTTTCTTGAACTTGGCGAACCAAGAGTAGACGGTGCTGCGAGCGGGAGCATTCTCCTTATAAACATCTTGCAGGCGGAGGTGGGACTCCTTAGGATTAAGGCCAGAAAGAACAGGAACAACATGACGTTGCGGAGATGGTGTTCAGAGGGCGTGAATTCAGGCAGCATATTAGACACAAGCCACTAGGTTCAGGCAAATGTTCAGAATGATTAATTAGGCCGTTCCCTCTATCGAAAGGCTCTTCGAGCTGCCCAGGAGATCGAAAGTTGGCGAGATGAACCTTTGCAGATGAGGACATCAACAGCGTCCCGAGGATTTTTCAGACAACCTAATAGAATGAAGGGCGCACATCAGAAAGGGATTTTCCAACGCGCAGTGAAATTTCACCAACTACTCGCTAGTTTGTATCGATTACAAGCGATTCCTTCCAGTGGGACCAAAATCGCGATCGAAACTCATGTGCGCGGCGCATTCTAGAAAGGTTTGGTCCACCCGACATACACAAATATTGGGTTTTCAATAATTTCAGAACACTTTTTAGGCTCGTACTAGATGAAAAGTCATATAACGAGACAGTTGATCGCACATAAACGAATGCTTTTTGTGAGCGTTCGATGTCCTTATGACTTAACCACGAAATAATTCCAACAATTTCGGCTATTACGAGAAATCCCTACCGCATCCTGCATCTGGGCATTTTGACTTTTCCTTAATCCTTCGACGATCATATGATTCAAAGGGCTGAAACCATTAGGGAAATCCCATTGCTCCTTGCTATCCGGAACCATCGAGGTAGGAACACCGCCCGGATATTCCAATACTCCCAAGTTCTGGAAAAAAGAAAACAAATAAGACGGGAAAACTGTGAATATGTGGTCATGATCCTCCGCGGCGGTCATAATCCTCCGCGGCAAAACTCACCTTCATTAACTGGAACAGCCGTTCAGACTTTCCCTGATTCAGTGTGTTATAGCATCCAGTGAAAAGAGGTACTGTAATCGATGGATAGAATTCTGTACTATGTGCTCCTGTGCGAAGATTGAAGTCATACCTGAATTGTTTGGTTTAAAACACTATCCTCGTCAAGGAACGTAACCCTGTTGGGAGAACTTTTGCAAAATACGACCCACAATCAAAATGTCCTCCTCTGGGACGATCATGCTTCCCCATATGCCGTCCAGCCTATCGTTTTCCTAATTGTTTTCTACTTATTACCGCTTTTCTAAAGTTTTTTTTGAAAAGATCTCCAGCGTACGGCGAGCCCTGATCCTCACAGATCGCGAGGACGAGTAGGGCCGACCACTGCACCCCCTTTGTTAGTGCGCGTTCCTTTCCATTATGCTATGGGAATGAGGAGCATCCTAGCGAGGACAGACAATGGTGGGCCTTACTGAAGATGAAGATGCACACCGTGAGATGTTCCCTTGGATAGGTGAAAGAGGTGAATGCGGAAATGGATGATTTTGTTTGAGGCCGGAAAATCACAGCGAATCCCAGGGCAAGGTTAGGTCATTGACGAATACAAGAACTTTCTGACCCTTTTGTATCCTTTTCCTCTGAGTAAAGGTGTCACGAGGTACCGCGGTGGTGGTCTATCTTCGAACTAAACGGTAAATACACTACATTTCATATCCGGAGAGGGCACATTTGCGTGAATATAGCGTAGAGTACGTTGTTCTCGGGATACTTCTAATCAAGACAACGGCCGTGCTGCCTCGTGCCGGAGAAATATGATGGCAAGAAAAGCATCCACTAAAAGGTTAGCAGCCGCAGTGTTTACTTGTAGGGCAGAATCACGCCCCTCCCATCGGTGGGATATGGCGTGTAGTTGTGGCGGAGTTCAGTAGTAATGTGCCGCATAAGCAGCAACTTCAATGACACCATTTACCCCTTTAGTCCCTTTTCTCACCTTTCAGAAAATTGCTTGATCTTCTCGAGTAACAACTCACCATGTACCCGCTGTATAATTATAGAAGACTTTGTTTACGGTATTGCGGAATTTTGCCCGTGTTTCTCGATAGAACTCTGACTTCACTTGGTTACCTGCAATAGTTGGTCACTAATACACCTGAAACATTTCTTTATACGAAATGAAACCCTAAAACTTTCAAGAACCATACACTACAGTTTTACACGAATGAGCTACAGTCTTATTCGCTGCGGATGAAGAGGTGTTTCGGGCGGTATGGGTTTGGTACGGGGCTCGGCCAGTTCTCCACCAGCTGTTGAAGCGGGTAAGAGACAAAATTCGGTAGAAAACAACCGATACGAACGATAGTTTTGTTGCTGGCTCGCTTCAGCAGCTCCTCTCGGGTTTGGTGCCGCGCCATGCCGACAACGCCTGACACGCCTCTTCATCCGCGCCGAACGAAGCTGTATACTTTGCCCACAAGAGCGGTAATTTCCATTTCTCCCATTTCACGGGAGCACTAACAAGCCTTGTGCCCTACTTTTTTTAATCCGTAGGGATAAAGGTTCAACAAGCTGAAGAAATCACCTATTCTTTCGAAGAAGTACTCCAACAGCTCGTAGTTCCAGCAGATGAACGCGTTGAGATCAACAGGGAGAATCTGAAGCGAACGGCAAAGTGACTTAAGGTGATTCCAGTTTTATTTACTGATTCTCTTCCAAATATAGATGTCTTCGAGTCACGATAGCGTGAGCATTGCACATTTTGTTGGGCTCTGTCGCGGTATGTCCTTAAAGGCACGGTCCGCGATAAAAAGCCTAGGTGATGTTGCAGAAATGTGGAAGAAAATTCGCCAAGTGAACCGTCTATGAAGAGAAAATGCCAAAGGGAACGTTGGAAACGCATTCGTCTAGCCTCAAACAACT